GCTGCCGCGCGCCCCGCGCCCACCTGCGCGCCCCGCGGGGGATCGTGCGCCAGACAGCGCGGGGCTCGGGTGGGGGGCTCGTGGGGCGCTCCAGTTTTCTTACTGCCCTTTCGGACTCGGGAAATCCGAGGGGCTGGAGGGCGGTGGCTGCCTGGGCGCCTGGCGAGGCAGGCGCTGCCCCCCGGGTTGGCTTCCTCCCGGGTTGGCTTCCTCGTCCCCTTTTTGGATAAGTCTTGTTTGTAGTCTTGTTTGTATCTTAGGAACATTGAGTGGACAAGAAAACTCAAGTTCCAACAGGCCCTGTACGCATAGTCAGGGGCGTTGAGGACTCCCAGGCGGAGACTGGTGAAGCTCCCCGTCCTCTGGGGCGCTTTTATTTGACTTTAGCGTCTAGGAAGCACTTGATGTCTCTACGCAGTTTGCACATGTCAGCCCTCTTGGTTCCCTTTAGGACACAGGCGGGGTAGGTGCGCAGGGAGAGGTGAGAGAATATAGCCTCCGGCTTTTAAAATCCTGTTTCCTTTGTGCACTAATTTCCCTACATCCAAGGGGCTGGGAATAGTGGAGTGATTCTGGCCGTCTAGTGCATCTGATTAGTCCTTCTGCGGCTGTTTCTCTGGCCCACTTGATGTAGTTCTGGAGGAAACCGCTCTGATTCTCCACTGTTCCTTGCCTTCCAGGCCTGCGCCTGCCCCTCCTTGTTACTTCAGGGTGATAATTTGAGTAACTCCATTTCTCCTCACGCAGCTTTTGAATTCCTGGAACTTATGTTTGGAATCTTAAAAAAAACCATAATTCTATTTGGTTGGGAAATACCTTCACATCCTTCAGAAGCCCAGACTTGTTGCTGCCAGGTTGATTCTGGGCCTGTGGTGACCCCACTTGTTGGACTAGCGGTTGAGCGTAGTCCTTAGTGGATCCACTTGCAAGGCCTTTCTTATGAGGTGTCACTAGGTGATTTAACCTTTCGAGTTAATAACGCTCTCGTTCCTGTTTGAGACAGAACTGACACATAGCTGACTTTCCAGCAGGTTTTCAGAAGCAGTAAGTTTCACCAGGGAAAATAGCCTGTTTTTCTGCTGGTGGAGAATGGTGGATTTGAACTGCGTGCCTGTGGGTTGACAGCACAACTCCTTAGCTCCTGCCCAGGCCAACAGTGCCTCTCTGAATTAACGTTGCTGTTTTGGAAGCAGGAGTGGCATCCACTTCCTAAAAAAGTCTACCTACATTTTTTTTGCTAGGTACTTCCTGGAGAGTGAGTCCCCTTCTGGAAGAATTTTATCCAGAGACCAACAAATATTTACATATCCTCCAGATTGCAAATAGTAGGGTGTTATAGATACACTTTTTTCTGGGTCCTCTTTCCCTGATGCTGTCACGTTAATTGGAGAAGGTACCTGTTCACTCTAGAACTCCAGCCGGACTCCATCCCAAGGTCACTTGATTGTCAGCTGCCCTGTTGGCCATGCAGCTGGAAAAAAAAGCATCCACTGAGCACGTGCTCTTTTACCCTTAGAGAGCGCTGGGGACTTGCGGGTGAGCAGTTATGCTGGTGGACACTCAGGCACAAGTCTTGGAGCCAGTTACTTCACAGGAGGAAGATGGGCAGTCTCCTCCCGTGTGATTGAAAGGCTAGCTGTGGGCTGGTTCCCGCTGGTGGTACACAACAACAGCCCTTAACGTTAGGAGCTCTGATGGCCTAGTGAGTCGACCAGCTGCTTGAGAGAAAGATGGACAGTCCCCTTCTGTGAGATTTACAGCCTCAGAAAACCTGCCAGAGGGTCAGTTCTGAGCCAGTTTTGACTCAACAAACAATAAGTAGAGTTCTTGCCACATAGGTTTTCTATAAGTTGAAACAAACAAGACACATGTTGTTCTGTGCTGTCTAACACATAGCTTACCTTCCAGTCGATTTTCAGAGGCAGTAAACTGAGTGGGAGGAGATTGCCCATCTTTCACCTGCAAAGCAGCTGGTGGATTTGAACTGTGTGCCTTCAGGGTTAGCCGTGCTATTAAGCCACCCCCAATAGCCAGTGCAACAGAGCACCCAAGTTAGGCTCATGGGAAGCAGCATAGCCCTGCTGTGCTGGACCCGGCCTGCAGAGGGAGCAGTGAAGGCCAGCTCCCTGTTCCAGCACTGAGTCCCAGGGCTTCTCTGGGATGTACTTGCTGTCTTGTAGTTGACTCCAGTCCAGGGAATTGCAGTGGAGCTGACAAGGGACAGAGGAGCCAAGCAGCTGAGGGGACTGGTGGTTCTGAGTACAGGTTCTGTTTGGGACAGTCCTTGGCTTCTCTGTCACTGTGCCATGTGCAGCACCACTCCAGACCTAGAGGGTTACAGCCTCCCCAAAGAGAGTCAGGAATTTAGCCACCAAAAACTGTGTGGAGAAACCCCCCAGTGGACCCACAGGTCTTCAGTTCTGGCCAACAGAGAAGTGTTTGTCCTGTGCGGTGAATCACACTGGAGGTGGATTCAAACCACATGCATTTGGGATTGTGGCACAGCTTACCACTAGGCCACAGAGCTCCCTGACACAGCTAGAGGCAGTGTGATCCTTAAGAAATTTACAGCGAGCTCTGGTGGCCTAGTGGCAAGAAGCTGCACTGCAATCCAAGAGGTGCACGGTTCAAATCCACCAGATGCTCTGCTGAAGAAGTAGGAACAATCTCCTCCTGTATCAGTCAGATCTGATTTGATGGTACACACACAAAAATAAGTTTAAAAAAAAAAATTGACTTACAGGTTTGAGATGGAAAAGGACTTGACAGGTAGATTCTTGAATACAAAATGGAATGAGTTTTTAGCTATTACACATTATATGTTGTGGTGTTATGTGCTGTAAAGGCACCCTTGAGTTGTAGCTGATGCTCAATGGGTTTTCAGAGGCTGTAAATCTCATGGGAGGAGATGGTTCATCCTTGTTCCCAGAAGGAGCTGGTGGATTTCAGTCTCCTTCAGGCAGCTCAGCCCCTTTCCCAGTGGGCCACCTGAGCTCCGTGGAATCCTGCGTGGCCCTGTGTCATCCTTATGTCTTGTTAGGTGCTGTCTCACAGTTGACAGTGACGCTGACTCACAACAACTCTGTAAACATCAGGCCTGAGCTCCGCCTGTCCTGTACCAGCCTCACGCCTGTCCGCTGGAGTCCATGTGACCATCACGGTGCTGGTCCGTTTTGTGGAGGGGCTTCCCCTCTTGGCTGACCCTCTACCTTTCCTAGGATGATGTTTTTTTCCAAGGACTGATTTCTCTTGAAAATATGCCCAGTGCACACCCCTGTTTATCTTGTTCACAGTAGCAAGGAGTTGGAAACAACCCATGAACAAATGAATGGATAGAGAAGCTGTGGTATATTCACACAGTGGAATACTATGCTGCATTGAAAAACAAAAAACTCATGCAATATTATTCAAAATGGGTGACTCAGGAGGACATTAAGCTGAGTGAAAGATCTCAGTCACAAAAGGACAAATACTGCATAGTGCCACTGTTGTAAAACAGGACTGACATCGGGGCTGGGGGGAGACTGCTTGTGCGGAAACTGCCTAGATCAAGAAGCAGCAGTCAGTCCAACAGAAAGAAGCAGGGGCAGCTGCTGGGTTTAAAATCAGAAGAGATGGATCCTCTCAACATTCACTCACTCTGTATGCTAAGCAGATAATCTGAGAAGTTGGACATCTTAATTAGACACGATAAAATGGTTTATATCAGTGGCCCTAAATTAACTTGTTTTAGGATTACCATTGATGCTAGATTTGCTGCTTCCTATTTCCTGAGGGTGGGGCAGATTTTCCCCCCCTTAAGTAAACTTGTCTCCTTAGCTTTCTGCTGGCTTAAAAACAGTCTCCAAGAAATGACCCCACCCAGCCTGTCCACGCCTGGCTCTCACCTAAGCAAGATGAAAGTTACTGAAGCAATTTGAGACTTTGAAATGCCCCAGGATGCTTTTTGAAAGTGTTGGCACAAGCTCATAAGTAACAGGTGGCCATGTCCCCACCTTGGAGGCCTCCCCTGTGTAAACAGCCATTAGTTTAGTCCAGTTATCAGGGTATTGGCTTTAGATAACTTGCCTGGGAGCTTGAGGAGGAAGGGCTTGGGAGGGAAAGAAAGGTGGACCCAGCCCTCCTGTGTCCTTTGGCACACCTCCTTTCCTAACAGGAGATAGGAAACTGTTAGTACAAGGTCAGAGGTTCAGATCCACCAGTTGATCCTCCCATAACCCTGATAATGGGTCAGAATGAACTCAAGGGCTGTAAGTTTTTGGGTTTAATGAGTAGCTAGTTGGAGGGATGGCCTGTCCCTGAGCCCTGCTGTGCTGCCCTCTGCTGGGGAGGCCAGGGAAAGATTGCCTAACCTGTGTGACTTTTTGGCCACTAGGTCAGAGGTTCAAATCCATCAGCCACTCTCCAAGAGAAATGTGGGCAGTGTTCTCTTATGAAGGTTTAAAGTCTTAGGAACCCAATGGAGGGTCACTTAGACAGAACTAACTTGATGGTGGGTTTGGGTTTGGTTTTGGTAACAACAAAAATCTTAGATTCTTTCTGTGTGTTAACAGCTAAGGCCTGGTGAGGGTCTCGAGGCATAGTTAGTATTCCATTGTGTGAATATACCACAGCTTCTCTATCCATTCGTTTGTTGATGGGCACCTGGGTTGTTTCCAACTCCTTGCTATTGTGAACAGAGCTGCGATAAACATGGGTGTGCATATATCTGCTTGTGTGGCAGTTATGGTCTCGTTGGGATATATTCCCAGTAGTGGAATTGCTGGGTCAAATGGTATCTCTATTTGCAACTTTTTGAGAAAGCGCCATACCGCCTTCCACAGTGGTTGCACCATTTTACATTCCCACCAACAGTGAATAAGGGTTCCAGTTTCTCCACAACCTCGTCAGCATTTGTTGCTTGCTGTTCTGTTTGTTATTCTGACGGGGGTGAGATGATATCTCATAGTTGTTTTGATTTGCATCTCTCTTAGAGCTAGGGATTTTGAACATTTCTTCATGTGCTTGTTGGCCATCTGAGTGTCTTCTTTGGTGAAGTGTCTATTCATATCCTGTGCCCATTTTTCAATTGGATTATTCACCTTTGTAAGACCCTTATCTGACATGTCATTACCAAACACTTTCCAAAGTCTGTGGCTTCCCTTTTTACCCTGTTGAAGTTTTTGGGTGTGCGATTCTTTTTTTTTTTTGTCATTTTAACAAAACTTTACAGAAAAGTCAGATTTTCATTCATTCATTGTTGCACATTTTACCCCCTCTGCTCAGTGATTCTTGCTCTTGTAACAGAGGGCTCAGAACCAGCTCAAGGGGCTCAGTGCCACCCTTGCGCCATGGGTACACTCACACTCCACAGACACGGAGGCTGGAGGGAGATCCTGCCGTAGACTGGGTCAGAGTGGATCTGAGTGAAGGGTCAGGGTCAGGGTCCCCTCGTGCACCAGACTGTCCCATTTCCATCAGCCGTCTTTTCTTACCCCTGGGTATATGCTGCCTTTTGATGTCACATGTCTCATTGGTGATTGGTGATGGAGACCTCCAGAGAGTTCTGTGTGGAAATCTGGGAAGATATTTTGTGTTTTCTTGCAGCACTTTTTGTTTGTATTCTCTAAACTGTCTATGTGGTATATACAGTTGCATGCCTCCTTTTAGAAAATGTAACATTGTATCATTTTCTTATGAAGTCTGGGTTTTGATTGACTGCAAGGCTTGTTCCCTCTCACTCTCTCCCTTTAAATGAACTTGTTCACTTTTTCCCCCACTGTGGTTTTTTCCCCCTTTGATTTAAAGCTTGCAGAGCTTCCCTGTCCAGAGATCAAATAAACATTCACCAAGTTGAATCAATTTTTAAAGACTTCATTTCTTATTTTGCATCAAATACCTGACATTTGATTATACTTTAAAAGTCCTTTAACTGCAAAGAATTATAGAAACTGTTAGCAGTGCTTCTTCCTGGGTGATGTTTAGTTTTTCTTTTATCTATTAAATTTTTTTATTGTGAATATGCAGAGGGCAAATTGATTTTGCAATTTCAATTGCTGATTCAGATTTCATGTATTTTTATGAAAGAGGAAGGAAAGAGACTAGATGGAGAAGAAACACTTTGTTGCCTGTGGGATCACAGTTTCAAATGGGACCACAGCTTCTTGAAAGAAGCAGCAGTCATGATCGTTCTTGAGAGGGTCGCTGTGAGTTGTAGTCAGCTTGACAGCACGGGACGGCGATAATCGCTGTTGGGTCAACCCCAGCTCTTTTTTTAAAAAAAATTTTATTGTGTGTGTGTGTGTGTGTGTGTGTGTGTGTGTGTGTGTGTGTGTACCATCAAATCGGATCTGACTGGCACAGGAGGAGATTGTCCCTCCTTCTCCAGCAGAGCATCTGGTGGATTCGAACCATGCACTGCTGGGATTTGCAGGAATTGCAGTGCAGCTTCTTGCCAGTAGGCCACCAGAGCTCCCCCTCCTTTTTTTTTTACTTTTAAAAAGAAACATTGCAAAAGCAACATTAAAATTACAACAGAAACTCACAACATTACTCAATATCATTATCTAATTAAGTCATTCCTCATTTTTACCTGTAAGCCTCTAATTCATGTCCACATGTATATACAAAGATACATAATATCAATGATAATATAGATAAGATCTCGTATTTTTTTAAAAGGGATAGTTAATTCTTTTTTTGACATTTGCTGTGACACAGTTAAGCATTGTGAAAACAAGGGAATGGAACATCTGTAATATGTCACTCCTCCTGAGTTAAGGGGTCCTGCATGGTCAAGCCTCACAGCAGTTCCCCCCACCCTGTGGGAACTGTGGGAGCAGCACAGGCAGCGCCGTCTCTCGCTTCCAGCCAGCCTATCATGGTGATCTCTTGTGCAGAACAGAACATTTCAAGACTATGGCCTTTGGGGGAGCTAGTTGCAAGGCATAAGGAAACTGGGTTAATTTGAACCATGAGCCTTTCACCTAATACTTGAAATCTACCCAGAGACTCCTACCCTAGGCTGTATACTGCTGTCCAAGTAGAACCAACACATAGCTGCCCGTCCAGTGGGCTTTCCAAGGCTATAAATAGAACAGGGACATTCCTCCTGTAGACCAACTGGTAGCTTCTAACCACCAGCTTTTGGATTGGTAGCACAGCTCTTTACCCACCAGGCCACCGAATTGCAGGCAAGAAAACTCCATGGAACATTTCTGCTCTGTAACTCATCAGGCCGCAAGACATCGGAATTGACTCAGTGGGGGATTTGATGTGACTGCTTATGAGTTTAAGGATCAGGAGGATGGTCCCTGGCTTGGCTGGGCTCAAGCGTGTGTCTCTGATTGGCCTGTGTGCGGTGGGAAGCCTGGCTGATGCTGGCTGGCTCCAGTGTGTACGGAGGTGGGCATTCTGTCCCCTGCCCGCGGACTCTCATCCTCAGCAGGCTGGCCGCGCTCACTCATCTGCTCTGACAGGGCTCCAAAGGGCTCTGAGGGAGCTCTGGTGGCCTAGTGGCAAGAAGCTGCACTGCAGTCCCAGAGGCACACAGTTCGATGTTCTGCTGGAGAGGGAGGGACAATCTCCTCCTGTACCTGTCAGATCTGATTTGATGGTACACACACACACACACACACACACACACACACAAAGGGATGGCTCTGAAAGAACTTTTTTCTTAAGAAAAAAGCAAAAGGGGGAGCCGGATAGGGAGGAAAATGTGCAACGTGAACAAATGCCAAGTTCTATATAAACTTTCATTAAAATCTGAAGAAAAAAAGAAAATACCATTGCCTAAAGGAGGTCTTGAAAGTCAGTTGACTTCAAAGTAATATCTAGATTGGTGATTGGCTAAATACATTATTTTTTATTTTATTTAAATTTATTAATTTCAGTAAAAATTTACAGAGACTTTGGGTTTCCATTCATTCATTGTTGCACTTTTCTCCCCTCCCAACCCTCGCCCTCAGTACACCTCCCAGAAAGGCAAAAGACAAATTCTTTCATTGTTTCATAATATATATATATTTTTTAATCTAAGAGAGACAAGGGAGGGAGGAAGGAAGGAAGAAAGGAAGGAGGGAAGGCAGGAAGGCAAGAAAAAAGAAGGAAAGAAATGAGCTAAATGTTGCTTCTTTCACCATCCCTTGGACAAAACAAGTCCCAGGCCGAGCCCAGATCCGAGTGCTGGGGAAATAGGCTCACCTCTTGAGGGGAGAAGCTGCGGTGTGTGCGGTAGAGGGGCTGCTGCAGACTGGGGTGGAGACCCGCGTCACTTCTGTAACTCACCCCTCATGATTAAGGCCAGCTTGATTCTACCGAAGGTCAGTAGGACCAGGTCACATTGATCCATAGCATTTTCATCCACCAACTCTTCTTAGTAGCTTGCCAGCCTTTCCTGTCTGCTGTCTGGAAGGTCCCTGACACCATAGCAGCTTGCAGACCACCACTGACCAGTGGATTGTGGTTGTGTGTGGTTGTGTGAAGTGCGTTGACCAGGAATCATTTCCCAGTCTCCTGTTTGTGTCAAGTTGACCACATTTGACCCTGTGAACAATGGGTCTGACCCTTGCCCTGTCCCACACCAACCATACCATGGTCAAGTGCGTTGTGAGTCACTGTGTCGTTCCATCTTGGTGAGGGTGTTTATCTCTTTCTCTGACCTCCTCCTTTCCCACCGTGATGTCCAAAGACTGACCTCCTGATAATATACCCGGGAGGTGAGGATTTTACCACAGAACTACCACTGTCCCATTGGTTTAAAAAAGTGGTGCTTTTTTATCTTCCCAAGTTTGGAAGTTTTCTTGATCCTGAGGGTGGTAATCCCGGGTAAAAGAACTCAAAACAGCCAGACTGAAGGGCATGGCAACTTGGGTCACCTTAGTGCTTGGCTCTGAATCTGCAGTCTTCTGCCTGGTACCGTAACGCTGACTCTCTTCTGGCCAAAGGCGTGTAATATTTTTTTTTCTTTCCTGTGATTCTTTTTGTAGGGGTTCAGCTGTTGCCAAAATAATTGGCAATAATGTCAAGAACTTTCAGAAGTTTGCCTCCACGGTCAAGATGTGGGTCTTTGAGGAAATGGTTAACGGGAGAAAACTGACAGACATCATAAACAGTGACCACGAGAACGTGAAGTACCTCCCAGGACATAAGCTGCCTGAGAATGTGGTGAGTCTCGGGGGGAGGGGTGGCACGGCACCTGGGGGACGCGGAGAGGTGGAATGGCCACTGTCTCTTTCCTTTGCTATTCTCCACTGTCAGGTTGTTTGTGGGCCTGGCCCGCTTTAGTCCTCCTGGCTCTGGAAATGAACTTGGCATTCAGGGTGCTGGTCACGTTGCAGCTAGAATGAACAAGTTTGCCTCCGGCTGCTCGCATGCCTCAAGGCCCCTGATTTGCCTTCTAAATGCACGCGCCCTCGATCATCTTGCTGCGACAGGCGCGACAGGCGAAGCATGGGTCTATCATTAAAATCGGGGTCAAGGCCTAAATTACATAGGGAGATAGGAGAAAATGGGAAATTATAGAGCCAACAGTTTAAAATGTTTAAAAACTTATTAAACCTGGGAGGGGAAAAAGAAATCTAGGTTATTACCTGGCCTCCTTCCAGTCACCTGCAGAGAAGGAATTCATGTCTGCTACTGTCTTTTGGCCAATGAGAAAGTCTTGCTGCAGCATTTGTCTCTGTTGTGGCCTTCTGTCACTGCCGTGTATAAACCAGGGAACTGGAGCTGTCTGGTCCTAGATATCACGTGGGAAGCTCAGCCCCTTTGTTAACAAGAGCCTCACCTGTACAGTGTGGGTGATGGAGATGGGCCGTCCCCCTGTGTGGCTCAGACTCTGAAAACCCGCCGGAGGGTCAGCTGACTCAAGGGTGAAGAGTTGTGTGTTATGTGTTCTCTCACCACGCCTCCCAGAGTACACAGTGTGTGTGTGGGGGGGGGGGGTGCAAAGCAAGGTGTTGGAGCTCCCTCTGAGGAAGCGTGAAAAGATAAATGGATGTGGAGAGCTTTTTGATGAGGCTCTCACTCTCTAATGTGATTGGGGGGGGAAACATATAGAGCCTTCGTCCTGTTCTGTAAGTGGTTTTGTGGGAGAAAGATGGCCAGTCTCCTCCCATCTTTGACTAACTCTGAAAACCCGTGGAGGGTCAGCTGTGGGTCAGTTCTGACTTGACGGTACTCGGCAACAACTACAGTTTGCTTATTGCCATTGACTCAGAAAGACCCGCCATCGTCATTGTCGTCGTTCGTCAAGTAGGTTCCACTGCAGAGCTGACTTTCTCTTCTTGGGCTGTCAGTTATGGGATGAGATCCCCCACTTCTTCCCAACAAGCCGCCCGGGAGAGTGGGACCCCTGGAGAGGCGCAGCCTTGGGGCCACCAGCGCTCGCCTGGATAGTGCCGCCAGAGCTCCCTCAGAAAGTCCTGAGAGGAAGCACAGCAGAACCCCTGCCGGGCCCGGGTGTGCCTCTCAGCCCATCAACATTTCTCCTTTCCCTCCTTCCCTCCTGTCCCAGCATGCCTGCTGGTGCTTCTTGCGAGTGTAGAAAGCATTTTTATTTCCGTTGTCTTAAAGACCATGAAGCAGGATTTTGGGAGAGTTAAGACGTGAAACTGCAGTGATGGGATGAAGTGCTCCGAGATAACATCCAGGGCATCACCAAGCCCGCCATTCGCCGCCTGGCTCGGCGTGGCGGCGTCAAGCGCATCTCCGGCCTCATCTACGAGGAGACCCGCGGGGTGCTGAAGGTGTTCCTGGAGAACGTGATCCGGGACGCCGTCACCTACACCGAGCACGCCAAGCGCAAGACTGTCACCGCCATGGATGTGGTCTACGCGCTCAAGCGCCAGGGACGCACCCTCTATGGCTTCGGAGGTTGAGTAATCAGTCATAACTACCAAAAAACACCTCACGTTTATTAATCTCTTAATGTGGGCGCACACAACCCTCAAGTTTTGCATCAGTAAGGATCAGACTGACATAATTTTAAACTTGGTGTGACACCACGCCATCACCTGGACAAGGTGCGATACCAGTAAACCTTGGTGAACATGTGTGTCATCGCGTGTGTGATGCTTTCAAGACCCAGCCCTGCTACTTCTCTGGCATCTGCTCCTGGAGTTGGTGGACCTGGTTTCATTACCAGTTTTGATCTGAATCCTTTGGAACAGTTCTGCTTTTGTTTCTTGGCCACAAACCTCGGATCCTGAAAGTCTGAGAAAGCAGCGGATATGGAACAGGTCCACTCAGTGTGAGGAGAGCCCCGCCTGGCGTCTGATCATCATTTACTCTTATTATTATTATTTTATTAACTGGGACCCGAGCACCACGCTCCTGGAAGTGTGCGGGTTTGGCGCACTGTGCAGATGTCGGTTTGATTTCATTATTCGCCCTGCTTAACCAGCGAGCAGCAGGCTGTACCACGATGACTCATCTTTCTCAGCACTTCCCAGCGTAAGGTGCACACATGGCATCAGGATGATTTTGGCAAGAGAGCTGAGAAATAGGTCAGCCTTTTCAAAGTGGCATCCTGATTGTGTTTCAGAGGAAAGTACTGGAGTAATGGCTTAGGAAAATATTTCTTTCAAAAGGTGGAAGTCAAGTTAGAGATCTCGTGATCGTGTGTGTTCTGACGAGTCCCAGTGTCAGTGTTGCTGGAGAAGATGATGTTTTCTGAATGGACCATGTGCACAATTCAAACAGATCGGTTACCCAACAGGTATTTTAACCCAGATGGAGCCAAACCAGGACCTCAGTGGGCCTGGGCAGGAGTGGCCAGGGAAGCCGATAAATAACTGCCCACACCCTTCTCCTGCTCTGATCACCTGCCATTACTCATGGATTCGTTTTACCCTCAGGGCTACTGCTCATGGCAGCCCCACAGGACAGAGCAGGCCTGCCCCATCTGATTACCAAGACCATAATTCTTTACTAGAGCAAGCAGCCATATCTTTCTGTCATGGAAGAGTTTGGTGGATTTGAACTGTCAACCTACTCACTTCACTAGGATGCAGAACATGAATGTCATGGTTTCTGTTTTGCAGGAGCCTCCCTTTCCTGTTATGTGTGCCATCCTCAGTCTGGGACATCGTCATGGTCTAAGGGGGCTGTCGGAGCTCCAGCCTTCTTGTCCATAATCTTCTTGTCCTGGCAGCAAGGTGGTGGGGTGGGGGGTGGAACTGCACAGCGCACCACAAATATTCAAGGACGTTGCCCAGAGTCACATGCAATCCTTCCGTCTGTACTCCCTTTGGTCAGATCTGTACTTCCTGTCATCAGAACTTGGTCACTTACACAGGTGGCTGGAGAATGTATCTCTCTCTCTCTCCTGGTGGCTGTAAACCCAGCCCGGCATTGGGAGCTCTGATCCTGAGAAACGGAGGAGCCATTACTCTCAGGATCCTGAGAAGTGGAGGACAGCAAGCAGCAGGGTGCTTTTTTTCCTCAGGACTAAGGAGTTTATTAGGGAAATTAACATAGTACAACTCAGGTTGGAAACAGATAAAATTTCTCAGTCAGAACAACTTCCTCCAACACACGCTTGCGTCACTGCTGAAATCGCAGGGGCACTGCTGAAGGTGCAGCCCTGAGAGGTGAGAGGGAGTTGTCTGTCAGGAGGTCTCGCCGGGATGAGGCCAGGACAGGGCCTCTGAGCACAGGAAGGACTGGCCTAGGAGGCTGATGCATACCTGTACCCACACCCCCCACTCTGAGGCTGTGATGTGCTCCCCACTGGCTCAGGCCAGCTGGACTGCAGACTGCAAGGGAGCCTGGGAAACGGTCCATAGAACACAGCTCTGGACGAGCAGAGTGGGCCAGGGAGGCTGGGAGATGCAGGAGACACCTGGACAGTGTCAGTAAGACTGGCTCTTAGAAGTGAGGAAACTGAGGCAGGGAGAGGGCAAGTCCCTTGGACAGATCACTCCAGCACTAGGTGGCTGAGAATCTCCTGTTTGCAGACCCCCTCGGCCTGGCATTTGTGGGCTGTCCACACTGTGCTGTGTGCATCGTGGGCCTCTGAGGAGTGGTCATCATTGTCATGTGCTGATTGTGAGATTTGGTCTCCCAGTGACACCACAGAGTTTGTGGATGACTGACTTTTGAGTCCACCTGGATGGGCTTTAGAAGAAAAGCCTGAAGATTTGATTCTGTTAAGATTTAAAAAACCAGGGCAGCTCTGGTGGCCTAGTGGCAAGGAGCTGCAACTACAATCCCAGTGGCTCATGGTTCGAATCCACCAGATGCTCTGCCGGGAAAAGGAGGGACAATCTCCTCCTGTACCAGTCAGATCTGATTTGACGGTACACTCACACAAAAATAAAAATAAAAAAAAAAAAAGATTTAAAAAACCCACAAAACAAAACCAAAAAACAAAATGTTGTGCCAGAACCAGCTCACAGCTGACCCTCCAGAGAGTTTGAGAAGCTATGAATGTTCCACAGAAGATGGCCCAGCTTTCTCCCGCGAAGCAGCTGGTGAATTTGAACTGCATGTCGTTGGGTTGGCAGCACCACTCCTTACCCGCTAGGCCACCAGAGATTGCAGCCAAGAGTGGGGCACAGTTCCACCCAGTCCTGTGAAGTCACCATGAGTTGGAATGACTCAGTGACAGTGGGTTTGGGATTTACTGTCGCTGTTGTTACTGTTGCAGAAGGATAAACCATCTCCCCCTCTTCATGGTTGCAGGTTGCCGTCCCAAACCTCAAAGAGGCCGTGAAGGATGCCGACCTGCTGGTGTTTGTTATTCCTCACCAGTTCATTCACAGGATTTGCGACGAGATCACGGGGCAGGTGCCCAAGAACGCGCTGGGGATCACCCTCATCAAGGTGAGATGTGTGCAGACACGGGGAGGGGGGAGGATCATGGAGAGGGTGTCCTGGAAGGCGCTGGGAGTCACCCTCATCAAGGTGAGGTGTGTGCAGACGCAGGGACGGGAGAGGGTCCGGGCAGCCTCATTTCCTTCTCTCTCATCACTGTGTGACCCTCCAGGAGACATGGTGTGCTTACTTATTTACTTATTTGCTTATTTTAAAGATGCTTACAAGGTAATTTAAAGCACATGTCCCACCAGGCCAGTCCATGTCAGGCTGAAGGCAGAGGTAGCCTCTTCTCAAGGCAGGTCAGCGGCTGCGGTGGTGAGAGGGTCAGCCTCGCAGTCAAGCGTTCCTAGCCTCCACTCACTGGAGGTCACTCGCGGTTTACATCAGCTGAGAAATTACCCTTCTCACACACGCTTTAAGATCCAGCAAAGTCTTCTTTACATGGAGACTTTTAACCAGAAGTCCATGATATAAGTCTGTAGGTGGGATTTAGGAAATTTGTGCACTTAAATGTGGAAAAATATATCATTATTCACTTAACCTCTAACTAAAAGGAACATTTATTTCGTTATTGAATTTAGTCCACAGACCACTATTAGCTGGAACTGACTCTGTCAACAGATAAAATCACCAATCTTTTCATACCATCTTGGCACATTATCCAGTATCTTGGTGTCATTTGTGTTCAGTGCTACTTTGAAATTGTGATAAGTTCTACATCCACAGTGATTTTCTTAAGTCACTGGTGCAGTTGTGTCTGTCACTTTTATCATTATATCGTCTTTTAATAATTTGATAATTTCAAGTTAATTGGCTTCCTGAGTCATTGTGTGTATTTTGTTTTATGCATCTGAAAAGTCCATAAGTCCTGACTTTTAAGGGTGGGAGGTGGGTGACGTCTATGCCATGAAAAAGGTTGAGAAATTCTGTTCCAGAGTGTTCAGATGAATGCTCAGGAAAGAAAACCTGAATGAACAGATGAAATGTAGATGGCTTATCCATGGAATACTACGCAGCTGTGAACAGGAATAAATGGACAGCTTAAGGGGGAATCTCAAAAAGTAGAATGTTGCATGCAGCCAGCCCCCACATCATCCATGAGCAGTATAATTCTATCTATAAATGTTCAGTACAAGCACAGTGACATATTATGTAGGGACAGTTACATGGGTTAAAATGACAAGCAAGGGAGCAATAAGTCCAGCATTTAGGTGTAGCTGACCCTGGTTGCGAAGGAGGAGGATGAACTCGGGAAGGGGAATGAATGTGTGTGACCAGGGGAGTGTGACCAGGTCAGCGTTGACTTAGCCTCTTGGTACACGGAAGTTCATTTTATTATCCTTTAAACGGTACCCATATGTTTGTTTACCCTGTAGGAAAAGGTGCTTTTTAAAAAAATTTTTATTGTATTTTATGTGTATCAGCAAATCAGATCTGACTGGTACAGGAGGAGATTGCCCCCTCCTGGAAAAGGTGCTTTTTAAAAAAAATTAATTTTAATGAACATTTACAGCAACTTAGGGTTTCCAATCATTCACTGTTTTTCTTCCCCCCCCCATTCCCTCTTCTTGAAAAGTAAAAGTTCATTGTTATGCAGTCCCTCCCCCCAGAGCTTCTCTATCCCTTTGTTGATGAGCACTTGGGTTGTTTCCAGCTCTTTGCTATCATGAACAAAGTAGCAATAAACATGGGTGTGCATATATCTGCTTGGGTGGCACTTATGGTTGCTTTAGGGTAAATTCCCAGTAGTAGAATTGCTGAGGCAAATGGTATTTCTATTTGCAACTTTTTGAGAACTCCATACTGTCTTCCATAGTGGTTGCACCATTTTATACTCCCACCCACAGCGAATAAGGGTTACAGTTTCTCCACAACCTCGCCAGCATTTGATGTTTGCTGTTCTGTTAAATTTTGCTATTACTGCGGTGAGATGATATCTCATTGTTTTGGAAAAGGTGCTTTTTAAGTTGTGTATCCAGCTGGGTATGTGACTTTTGATGTTTTTACAAAGCAGAGTTCTCCCAAGCCTCTTGATGATTTGTTTTCCGCTAACTTCTCGATGTCTGTGCAGGGGATAGACGAGGGCCCCGAAGGGCTGAAGCTCATCTCTGACATCATTCGGGAGAAGATGGGCATTGACATCAGCGTCCTCATGGGAGCCAACATCGCCAATGAGGTGGCGGCCGAGAAGTTCTGCGAGACCACCATCGGTGAGCGCCCCGGGCTGTGAACCGGGCATGGGTGCTCTAAGGGTGTTCTTTATTGCTGGTGTTTTCTGTGGCGAGAGCACCCTTGCATTCATGAGGACAGCAAAGAAAATGTAGCTGCTGGTTCTTACTCAGGCCGTAGGCTCAGGCATCTTCGCCTTTATTTTTAATTACACAGATTGTTCTTGTTATGTGGCTCCAATTGGCTTATGGCTCCTAGTGACCCTATGTACAACAGCTCCGAACCCTGCTCTATCATTGTTGCCAACACACCCACCCCCGTTTACCCAGTCACTTAATTCACCTCATCCAGGATCTCTCCACCGTTCCAAATATCATGTCCTTATCCAAGGACTGGTCTGTCCTGGAAACATGTCCTAAAGTATGTGAGATGGAGCTTCAAAACCCTTGTCTCCAAGGAGCAGATAACACCTTGTACTTAATGAAAATCCAAAACCAAGTCTATCATGTTGGGCTCAGCCGCCCTCCTCTCCAAGGCGGTAGACATCGATGAGAGCAGACCGCCCATCTCCAGAGGAGCAGTTGATGGCTTCGAACCACCAACATTTTAGTTAGTGTAGCATACTATATATTATGCCACCAGAGATTGTTTTGTATCCTTTTATATAAAAGATTATTAGCTAGTTACAACTCAGTGCTCTGCTGCCAACCTGTCCATTCTCTCCCATCTGGTTGGGTGGAAATGACTAACCAATCATGCTCCAAGCTGGTGGCTTCATCTCCACTATTTATTTAACATTGATGTGTAGACTTTTAACTAGGATTTTTTATTTTATTTGTTAAACCTGGCTTTAACTCTGTTTCCACCTGTCTTTGTTACAAATGTATGCATGCCACATCTTTTTATTTCTTCTTTCCCAAGGCTTCTCTGTGGGTCTTCGGAGCTCCCCACTTCATGGTCTGCATCAGTGTGTATTTCACTCTGTCTCTCTGTACTTCTTTCTCTGCGTGTGTGTGTGAGAGAGAGAGAGAGAGGAGGGGGACTGAGGGGGGAGAGAGGAGGGGGAGGAGAGGGAGGTGTATGGGCTTCTGGGCCAGTTAGCTTTAGTAGTTAATCAGCGCGTGCTTTAGAACGCCCTGTTAGCATTCTTGGCCACATGAGGTGGCATTTCATGTGACACAGGCTTGACAGGGAACCTAATTTGACCACTTGTTGCTGAAGGTCGCGATAGGTAAGACAGCTTTGCTAGTAACCAGTGCTCACTATTTCTTCCACAAATCCCAGGAAGAGGTGTGTCTCGCCTCCCCATGGACTCCCTAAGAGCATGTAGTCCTTCTTCCTGCAGGGATGTTTTTATAATAGGTGCTGTCTGGAGACAGGCAGGGACCGACCGATGGAATAGAATAGAAAGCCCCGAGGTAAACCCATGGACAGCTATCTTTGACAAAGAGGCAAAATGCATTAACTGGGGGAAGAGACAGAGCCAGGCTCTTTAACAAAAGGTTCTGACAAAAGGAGGTATCTATTTACAAAAAAAAAGAAAAAAGAAAAAAGGGGGAACCGAGATGGATATCGTGCATCATACGTAAAAATGAACTCAAAGATGAGTCAAGGGCCTTGGCAGAAAGCCTAAAACTACAAAGAATTTATGGGGCAAATTTATGAGCCCGGATCTGTGGCATAGGTGGTGGTGATGTGACATGCAGTCAGAATGAACACATAGCAGACCCTCCAGTAGGTTTTTTAAGGATGTAAATTGCTCCCTCAGAGATGCAGGTGGATTGGAACCACCGGAGAGGAGGCACAGCCTCTGGGTTGGCAGCACAGCTCCCCTGGGGTCCTAGTCTTCTGAGAGGGAAGAATCAAAAGATGGCCTGGTATCCTGGCTCAGGTACCAGAGCTCAGAGTCACTGGACCGACGCGCCCTCTGGTGGCGAGAGTGCCCCTCACTCGTGTGTCTCACCTTGGCATCAAAGGACTTTCCTTTCTTCCCACAGACAGTTTGGGTTTCTGTTGGGTTTTGGGATTTTTTGTTTTGTTTTTGATGTTTTTTTTGGTATTTTAATTTTCCACATAAATATACATGAAAAACGATAGTATTTTTTGTTTCTGTGACTGATACTGTTAGGGTTAGGGTTATTTTCACTCGAAGTTTTTTTATTTTATTTTATTTTATTTTGTGTATGTGTACCATCAAATCGGATCTGACTGGTACAGGAGGAGATTGTCCCTCCTTCTCCAGCAGAGCATCTGGTGGGTTTGAACCACTCACCTCTGCGATTGCAGTGCAGCTTCTTGACACTAGGCCACCGGAGCTCGCCTCAACAAAGTATTCTAACCATTTTAGATTATAGCTTTTTACTACTTAATATTTACCCATAAACCTATTCTTGAATTTTTATAGTTTTTTATAGTGTATCAAATTCCATTGGAAAGCTGTATCATTTAATCCATAATCTGACCTAAGTGCTTAATGATTAGCTGATTTTTGTTATTTTAACTTGCATTTCCATGTAAACTGTCGAGTTTTAAACTGTATAGTTTTAAAAGTCTGTTTTGTAAAAGCTGTTTTAGATCGGGGGAGCCCTGAGACTGTGGCCTTTAGATATGGCTCAGCCAAAGTTCTCTAAAGTGTAAAAACGAAAACTGAGAAACTAATGAGTATGTAGAAACTTGCACATCTCACATCCCAGGTCCTGTCCCAGCCTCAGGGGACATACAAAAAAAGGTGCACGCTCACTTGGTCTTCCCCCTCCCCTGTCTCTGTCACTTTGTCACTGTCATTGTCTTTGTCTCTCTCTCAAAGCTGTCAGTTTAGGCTAGCAGGAAACATGATACAGTCCTTGATACCAAGTAATTAGAAAATTATGAGAAATATAATCCACATATGCACAGAATATTATGCAGCCATTAAAAATGATGGGGGAAAGGATATCATTGAAAATTTTTCATGCCATAAAATTTGGGAGAAGTAAGTCATCCAATCATTCATAACTTAGCTGATTTTCAGAAAAGTGGTCCTATACATTGAAACATCATGTCACTTTGTTAATTATCATTTTTTATAGAATTGGCATGTTTTATTTGTGCCTGTTAATTTTTTGTTTTTTTAAATTTCATATAATGAACAGTTTACAAGTGGTTGCTTCAGCCTACGTTAACCCACTGTCACTGAGCCTCTGGTGACTCTGAACAACAGGACAGAACAGTCCTCCATGTTTCCATGGAGATAAATCCCTACAGGAGCAGAGTGTCGGCACGCTCTTGTTGGATTTGAACCTGCAGCTTTTTTCTGAGCATCCAGAGTTAACCACGACACCACTTGTCACTGTTATTTGCTGTTCAGTCAGCAGCTCATTAAACAGAATGAAGTGGGTGTGAAAGTTAAGATTAGAGACTGTTGCTAATTTTTGTTTCCTTCAACCTTCAAACAGGCAGCAAAGTGCTGGCGAATGGCCTTCTCTTCAAAGAGCTCCTGCAGACTCCCAACTTCCGGATCACAGTGGTCAATGACGCCGACACTGTTGAGCTCTGTGGCGCTCTGAAGGTAACGGCAGCCGGGGAGAAGTTACCTGATAGCGCAGTGGGGTCCGAGGCCGGAGAATGGGCTCTGTGTTCTGCGCGTTTATTTCAGGGAAGAATCGGGAATCCAGGGCCTGTGTGGCACTTTGTGCAGCAAGCCCTATTTTGCAAAGCCCTTCCTGGATGGCTTGAGTTTGCTTTTATTTGCCGATCAGGGGGGAATCATGGTGGCTTTTTTCTCTGCGACACTGACAACATAAATAGTTGGGAAACATTGAACATACCTTGTTGGCAGGGTTTTCCCCCAAGAGGAGACGATGCTGTTCACTCAACCCTGTATTTTTCCTGTTGTCTGGAGCAGGGGAAGGGGCTTGTCTCCCCCAGATCGGCTCCCCCAGATGTGATTTACTGCCTCTGAAAACCCACTGGAGGGTCAGCTATGAGTCATTTCTGACCCAGCAGTACTGTGTGTGTGTGTGTGTGTGTGTGTGAGAGAGAGAGAGAGAGAGTTTAAAACCACTTTCTCAAATTGAGTGTGTATATATGTGGTCCCTTGTCCCTATTCTATGGAATTTTAAAAATGAAAGCCAGTTAGAGACACGGGCTTCGGGCCAGCAACGTCCCTATTCCAAAAGGTTTGTGTGGGACATTCTTCACGTTGCGTGCCGGCCCTGTTACACATGCAGAACGCTGGCCATGGCTCTTTTGTTTATTTTTGTCAGTTGAGCTTTTTATGTGATTTTAATGGTGCTTCATTAAGCTAATGCCCGCTCATCAGCAGGGCCCAGCATGGACGCCTAATTGCTCAGCACCGTTCCGTGCTGCTCCAAGGTTCGTTTTAAGTGACAGGGCATTTTTGGTGGTACGTGGAGGTCTGTGAGATGCTGGATTGCTGGGTGAGAGGAAAGATTCTGGACAGAAGACTGAAAAAGCTGCTGCTGACAGGAACTCCTGCTTGGCCGTGTGTTTGAACACAGAGTGACCTTTCCTTTCTACGGGGAGGAAGCCTGCAGGGTCTTCCGTGCCTGTTACCATCAGACAAAGGAGCTCTGCTGGTGTGTGTTACTGTTGTACTGCCCAGGGAAAGCTCAGCAGTTCGAATCCACCTCCAGCTCTGATCAGGATTGGCAGTCCCCTTCTACCAAGACTTGTTGTTATGTATCACTGGGTGGAGCTGAGCCTCCAGCAGGTTTTCAGAGGCTGTAAATCGCACAGGAGGAGACTGCCCATCTTTCTCTCATGGAGCAGCTGCTGGATTTGAACCTCCTGACTTTATGTTGGCAGAGCAGCTCTGTACCCACGAGGCCACCAGCACTCCCAGTGTTGGGTTCATGACTGGCTGTTTAGCTCGGTTTGCCCCTGGCTTTGGCGGTGACGCTGCGCTGTGAGGTTGATCTTTGTCCTGTTCTCTCCCTGTCCCTGCTCCCTCACCAGGGCCACCCCTCCACCTGACAGCACCGTCCTGTAAGCGAGACCGTGGCCTTGCACGGTGGCCTTGTGTGGTTACTTATGTTTACGTTTAAGTTAAAGTAAAAACAGATGCACTTGAGATTATGGAGGGCACATTTGGAAGGCTGGCCACCCCTGCGTGGCTAGTACAGGAGGGAAATGTTTGCATCATTGCAGAACGTGTGCAGGGATCCTTGGACTGACCCCAGCCCCCAGGCTGCCCATGTCAGGGCTCTGTGCACCCCTCCTTCCCTGGTAGCTTCATTGACCCCAACTCTGGGCAGACTTTCCACTTGGCACAAGGCACCAGGTGGTCAGGCCTGACCACCTGGTGCCTTGTGCCAACAGTTTGTTGCCCAAAGTACCTGAGTGAGCACAGAGGAAGCCTCTTCTGGAAGTGGCTTCACACCTCCATCAAGGGGCCCAGGAGATCCCTGGCTTTGGAGGGGTCGGACGTGTTGTCGGGCTTAAAGACAGTAGTGCGTGCTGAGCGGGTTTCTATGGGCAGCACTTCGTAGGTGGGGAGTGTTTGTCTTTGGTGGCCTGGTGGATAGGTAGCTGTGCTTCCAACCCAAGGGCAGGCAGTTCGGGTCCACCAGCGGCTCTGCAGCCTCCTCTCACGTGAGTGAGTCACAGTCTCACTCAGCGACGTGCCCTTTCCAAGTGACAGCAGTGAGGTGTCATGTCTGTCGTGTTAGTTGGCGGGGCCTAGCTGTCCAGTTTACCATTCTAGGTGGGAAGGTAGGATGAACAAGGACTTGAACCGTCTAACCTGCCCTGATTCAGACTTGCCCAGTGGAGGTGGGCGATCGCCTCCAAACCCCCATAGTCCATGGAGCAGAGGAGGGCTCAAGGATGTCTCTTGAAAATGGTGACCGTTTTACCTCCCGAGTGGTTGAAAGCACATTGAAATGCACCGCGGAGGACGGTAGCATGCACGGCTGAGCCTGCTCCAGGGACCTCTGCTCGGAGGCACTGGCTCAGGGTCTCTTCTCCTTTGGACATTGAGTGTGTGGACCTTGATTCCCATAAGGTGAGGACAGCTGGGGGGCGACTTCCCCACCAGTCTTCCCTGAAATTATGCCGTCCACTCCCCACCCACCCGACTGCCTGGGGGTTGTGCTGAGAGGGCACTAACCCCTTCCCAGGGACCTGAGGCTCCATCACAGGCAGTCAGAACACCCCCCCAGGAGATGTTGGGAACCCCCCCCCACTTATGGGCAACTAGAGCCCCCATCACCTGCAGTCAGAACCCCACCCGGAGCTATCAAACCCACACACACACACACACACACACACACAGAGCCGTGCACCCCATCTGAGCTCCCTGACAGTGCTCTCACATTCAAGTGAAGCTTATTTTCTCTCAGCTCTGGGGCTAAAAGTTCAAATAAGGAACTTGCCTGGTTTTCTCCCCTTTAAAAAATCTGTTTTCTTTTAACCATGCACATATGTTTTCTTTTATAGGCTTAATTACAATTGATTAATGCAATTAATTAGTGTCTCATCAAACCCCCTCGTAGACTGGCCTTCCCTTCACCTGGCCTGTATGTCTGTTGATCCCTCTCCCTTCTCACCCCTGTTTACCCTCCGGGGTTGTCTGGGCGTAAACCTTCTCCTTACCTGTTTACTTTGGGCAATCAAGCTGCATATTTAGTTCCATATAATTTATTACGATACCCACAAGGCCTCATCATCCATTCTCCCCACATCGTCCTTGTCCCCTACTCCAGTCAAGTTCATGTCTGTGCACCCATCTTCTGTCCCCCACCCCCACCCTGCCCCCAGGCCTCGGCTGTCTGATTCCTCCCTTTTCAGTGATCCAAGCACCTGGACTTAACGGATGTACTCAGATGGCATCTGTCGGCCCGTGTATGTGTCTGTCTCTGCTTTTTTCAGATGTACTCAGATGGCATCTATCAGCCCTCTCGTGTGTGTGTGTGTGTGTGTGTGTGTGTGTGTGTGTGAGAGAGAGAGAGAGAGAGAGTGAGAGAGACTCTGCTTTTTTCACAACTCAAATGTGAGTCTGTTCAGAATCCACCTTTGAAAGGTATGGCCTCAATGTTGTGAAAGGTTATAGCGGGTAGATTAGACCATGGAAAGAGATTCTATTATGTTCCTGAATAATAGAGATTAGGCGGTCCGAGCCCACACAGGAGACTGCAAGCTCGGCCTTGGAGGTTGGGGTCTCTGTACAGGCCCTGCTAGATGGACCCAGTGATGGGGACCCTCTAGACCTTTTTGGTTGAGTTGGAGGGAGACAGAAGATCTGTTCTTGCTGCTAGAGTTCTTACCTTGAGCACAGGCAGCGTGTCCAGTCGGTCCTTGTCCCTCCCGCCCACTGACACAGCGCCCCTTCCCGACTTTGCTGTTCACAGAACATTGTGGCCGTGGGTGCTGGCTTCTGCGATGGTCTGCGCTGTGGGGACAACACCAAGGCTGCGGTCATCCGCCTGGGCCTCATGGAGATGATCTCATTTGCCAAGATCTTCTGCAAGGACCAGGTGTCCACAGCCACCTTCCTGGAGAGCTGCGGGGTGGCCGACCTCATCACCACATGCTACGGGGGCCGGAACCGCCGGGTGGCAGAGGCGTTCGCCAGGACGGGCAAGGTAGGCCTCATGTTGTTCCCACTCGGGCCTCGGCGTTGGTGTGCGCTCGGCCCTTGAACCAGTCAAGGGGGGGGTGGGCCTGGTGCAGAAGAGCCTCATGGTGCGAGAGTTAAGTGCCAGACCACTGACCTGTGACCAGGCTCACACCCATTGGCCTTTCTGAATAAAGAGGCAGCTGTTCCCATAAAGATTCCAGCCATGGTGACCGGGGACAGATCTGCATTGTCCAGGAGGACCTGCGTCATGATCGACTGCAGTAACACATGGGGTGTGAGGTTGGGGGCATGTTCTGTCTTCATCTCAAGTTCTGGACTCCTCTGGTCCTTTACCTTCCATGTTTTTCCGGCCCGCAGCCGGGGCTTAAAATCCTCCTCTGGGAATGAGCGATTCCCCAGTCTTTACTGGAGATTCCTTCATTTCTTACTCCTCTAACCTTTGTCTTTAAGACCATTGAAGAACTGGAGAAGGAGATGCTGAACGGACAGAAACTCCAGGGACCTCTGACGTCTGCTGAGGTGTACCGCATCGTCAAGCAGAAGGGCATGATTGACAAGTAAGTCTCCCCATCACCCCGGCGACCAGATGCCCGCCCTCCTGCTTCTCTCCTGTACCAGTGCGTGCCCACGGCACACGCTGTCCTGACAGTGCTTAGATGACGTGGGCGGGTCAGGTCAGCCTCTGGTGTGAACATGCACATCAGGAAACCCCCCACTAAACAAGCATTTTCACAAAACCCCGATGAGGCTCAGCTAAAGCGAGAAGAGCTCAGTTTGTTAGCAAATGCAATCCCATTTTAAAATGAAGACTTTGGCTTTAGAAATATAAATATATATATATACTCTTTAAGAAACACTTGACAATTCAGCAAAAAAGGACAGGTTACCCCAGATTCTGCCATCAAGGGGTGACCACTGTTATGTTAGGTGAGCAGCCTTGTTCACATAGGTGGGTGGATGGGTAGGTAGGTGGGTGGATGGGTAGGTAGGTGGGTGGATGGGTAGGTAGGTGGGTGGATGGGTAGGTAGGTGGGTGGATGG